AATCGGGTGGTTCCTATCAGCAAAAATTTACAACGTTTTTTCACTCAAAAAAAAAAAACATCCAGCATGATGCTTGTGGAAATCACAGGTAGCACACACCATTTAAACAAACACCCAAGTACTAGTCTGCCCATAATCACATAAAATATCAAATTCCCATGTCAATTATTATTTATTTTCATGGGAAAATAATTTTTAACCTAAGTAAAATCTCACTTATATTCAGATTATAATTTTTTTCAAAATAAAACATCTACTTTATTACATGTTGTCATTCAAAGAATGTCAGACAGAGTGCATTGTATTTTATCAATGAAAATAGTTTTCTTGAATACCTAATATCATTGACAAATATAAATCTATGCCTTTTAACTGGTGCTAGGAGAAGAAATTACTGTGATCCTTTTGTATGGCATGTATTAGTTTTTTTTTTTTTTTTAATTAAAACAAGATGTTGAAAGAAGAGAAATAGAGGTCAGGACAAACACATTAAAATTACAAAATATCTATGCTCACAAACAAAAAGAATAAAGACGACATGATACATAAGATAATGTCTATGTCATCCTCTCCACCAGTGCAGTGGTGATAATGGATACAAAATCAGGCATTTTCATTCTCCAGCCCTGAGCAATAGAAATTCTTCTTTCTTGTCTTCACCCCTGCACTCACCCTTGAAGTTTCACCATGATTTTTACCAATATACACAACTTCTGTTTGTAGGTTTTAGTCAAGGATATCATGCATTATGTGTAGTTTTAATTTTTTCAGAATACACTCTTGCTCTAGAAATCAATATAATTCAGACCTTGATTGTACCGGTCTGACTATGCACTCCTCAGGTCACATGCATTAGACTTCTGGGTTCAACCTGGGTCTTTTTTCTTTTTTGACATCTATAATATCTTAATCTTTCCCAAGGTTTTACAGAGAAAATATGTAGCTTCTCTGATCTTCTTTTAAGGTTTTATTTTATCCCTATTCCAACTTCCAGTTTATATTACTAATTATCCTCTTCACAACACCTTAAATTTTACGTATCTTGCAATCAACAATTTCAAGATTGTCAAGAACAAAAATACAAATCAATGCGCATTTTTTGGTCCAAGTGTAACTCATGGTTAAAGGAAAATAACTGACTTTAATATCTGGAGTAAATAAGGAATAATATTTGGAAGAAATAAGAAACGTGCACAGACTAGATCTAGCAGGCATGAAAGATTGTATTTTTTTCACTTAGAACTATTTACGGTAAGATTAGAAGGAGAATCATGATTAAAATCTTATATTGAAATATTTCCCGATATTAAGCACGAAATGATCATCCATAAAAAACAAGTGCCATTGTAAAATGAGCTATTAGATTTGTTGATTAATTTATTTTTTTCTCTTTTACCACCTAAAACAAATGTGGATATGTGTGAAAAAACAGCTGTCACAAAGAATGTATAGAGGATAGAAATGTCACGAACTTTCCCCCTAAGTTAATACAATACATAGTATTTTTTCATAGTAAAAAAAATTTACCCACAACACATCCGACACCCAAATCAGTATCTTATTTCTAGGTATAAAATAAATGACTATAACATTTCTCTCTCTACACGATTTTAAAATGATCTCCTCTTAGCAAAACAGAGAAATAGGTGAAATTTATTTACACCTTACTCTTTTTATCTGTTTTTCTCCATCTCCTTTCAGAACTTTCTCCAATTCTCCTCCCCCAGGCTAAGGTGCTCAGTACTTTTATCATACTCTAATTTATCCTGTCAACATGCAAAATAATTTGATAAATTTCTTCATATTAAGGTATTAGAAAATTAATTATCTACTGATCTCATGAGTATTTGCATTTTAAAGGAAAAGTGCAGAGAAAGAACAATGCCTGAACATCCTAAATTAATTACGGAATTTCAGGCATCTCTGGGAAGATATTTAAAAGTGATGAGAGAACTACAGAGTATTCTCAAGTCGGACAATAGATATGACAATCTTGTCCATTTATTTGTCGGTGTAGTCATGAGATTGAGGCAAATTTTGTTAGAAAATAACCATTAGATCCTCTCTATGTCTTTGAGGATACCTGATAATGTCGTGGTACACAGTAGGTCTTATTCGTATTTATTAAATACATTTTCATACTGTTTGTCTTACATCCATTAAAAATATTTGAAGAATCTATTCTTTCGGTAAAATAAGAATAAGAGTCTATGTGTTGGACCCTGTGCTGTGATCCTAAAGCCTTTGGTTTAACCTTAGCAGAAAAGCGATGCATACTAAATATTTAATTTATTCCTGGACATTTCCCTGTTGTTTAGAAACATCAAGAAATTACATGGTAAATGTCTAGAGTTCTGGCATTCAGAATAGACAGCAAAGGAAAACGGCGTTTTCTTAAATTGTCAAATCATAGGTGTGAAAACATCTTATATTTGAAGTAATACTGCCAAATACTTTTAAAAGAATTCTGTTCTTCCAATTATCTCATACTCATTATCCCAACTGATCCCTATAGCACCAGCCTCATGGATTGGACAGGTCTGTGATAAAAGCAGTCATTTACTGATCCTTTACATGTGGAAACCAACCTACAAAATGTTGACATTACTTGTCCACAGTAACACAGTAATAGGTGGAAAAGCAAACACTAAGCCACTCTGATAAAAGGATTTATGAGAAATTCTCTTTGACATGTATATAAATGAGTTCAAGTTAAGTTTATTTTCCATCCTGATAACCAGGCTTTTTATATCAACCACCTCTACCATCTATTGTGATAACTTGACAAAGCACAAGCCGATACTATAAAACATGTATCCAGTCATAATCACGTTTCTAAAAGTTTTCTGTTTCCCTCTACATAATCAGAATTTGATGATATTAGCATCATTATTCATTGAATGGTGATCAAGAGGATGACATACCATAGAAAGAAGAAAGCCTGATTTACTCCAAAAAAAGAAAAAAAAGGAAGAAAGCAAGGAATAAAGAAAAGAAAGGAGGGAGAAAGAAAATAAAAATATTTTTCTTTTTTATGTGTAAAACAGACAAGACATTTGATGGCAACCATAGTCTCATGCACGCACACGATGATCAATTTAGTTGGACATTTCATCTCTCACATTTTGTCTTTTTTCTATCTCCATTTTTATTGACTAATATTGGAATGAATTCCGCTCAGCATCACCTGCTAATTTTATTCAAGTAATATGTAATTAGCCCTTCAAAGTAATTTGATATCAAAGATGTTAAGGTAGATTTAACTCCTATCAAAGAATGACTGGAATATTACGGGAGCATTACTTCAGCCCATCTGCATGCCATTTGATAAGAAGTTAACTTAGTCCATACGTCTTCCATTTCTTATCTAATGGTAGCAAGTAGAGTAACATGATTGGTTTAAGATAATTCGAGTTAGAGATTCCTTTCTCTACTAAAAGGTTGAGTGTTATTTTTGTACTGTTTCTAACAACCTTCTTAGTTCTTACTTTTTCTTGGCTTTTAAAAACAAATTAGAAATGCCAATGATTTCACTAGCAAATTCTCTTCAGATCTCAAAATCCATATTTCCCAAGTTGGATACTTCTCTACATATCCATTTTCCAAGCACTTCAGCCTTTTGCTTTTTTAAATCAATAAGCCATATTGACAAAATTTTAATTATTCCCTAAATGTGCATACTTGTCTTGATTTTTCTTATTTTCCTACAGAGAAAAAAATTAACGAACTGATCATGCAGTATACTTTGCTCCATTCTCTTTGAACTTTAGCTTTCACCTCTAAGAGAGAATAGGATCTGATGTATTGATCCGTTTGAAAAAAAAAATTAGAAAATCAAAGAGAGAAATAAAATATCCATCTCTGTTAATAATTATGCAAAGATTAAAAAGTGATATATAATTAGGTCATGAAAAGTTTCCTTATTTTAAGCAGACTCACCAATGTTGCATTGAAAAACCCACTGCATAATTACAATCATGAACAAAAAGTATAGCAACCATCCAAGTTACCTAAATGTATCTGCTTCTCAATGTTCCTTCATGCAAATAATACAACCACTACTTCTGTGAACTATCAAGCAATCCTGATTTCTTCAGTCTGCTACGAAATCAAGTGTTTAACTATTTTTCTGCCCCACAATTTCAGCAAGGCTATACTCTATGTGAGGGGGAAAAAATAACCAAGGAACTCCAGCCAAATTAACTTATTATTAGATATTTACAGTATATTTTTCTATAGTTTGATTTTCTTTGTGTAATTGAGATGTAATAAAGGTAGAACATGTTGCAAAAGAGAAGCAGGTGAGTAAATACTTCCAAATCCAACTAGAAGATAATTCCTTTCATCTCAGCTTACTGGTAATGAAATAGATTAGATCCACATTTTCTGAACTCCCTTTGTCTACTGATAAAACTTAGAAGAGATGTGGTATACCCAGCTACCACCTACAGAGTATTAGTTTAAGAAGAGTAAAATAAATCTAAAAGAATAACAACCTTCAGGTGAAAATCCATATGCAGAGTAATTTTCTCCAAATAAATCTGTCTGATGCTAGCATGAAAATGCATACACACATTCATACATGTAGACAGAGATTAAACACAACTCCAAAATGCACAAATGTACAACCAATATATACTAAATGTGCACTGTTAGAACAAACTCAACACTTGCTATTTTCCTTCTTTAAACCTGCTGGCCACTACCATAGTATTTCCTTTCTCCAAAGGAAAATAAGGGGCAAAATAAAGAAGAAAAAGTAGATGAGATAACTCCAGTTCTGAGGTTTTATAGTTTTAAATTCTGAAACATCATGAAAAATTTAGCAAACATTTATGGCATACCAAAGAGTAGAGTCATGATAACCAAACAGGCTATTAAGATCCTTAAAGTTCGTGTTAAAAAGTTTGGAAATGGTTTCCTACCTTTTTAGACAAGGCAGATTTCTAAAATGTAAAGGCTGAAAAAGAATGAGAAATAAAAACCATAAAATTACTTACAACTGATCGGATGTTATTTTCTTTCACCAGCTTCAGAGATGATTTATAGCAATTTGCAAGGTCTTCCTTGTGGGAACCATTAATATGGCCTCTGGCTATTGGTCCTACAGTATGGATGACATCTGTAAACACAAAAGGAAGGAAAAAGAGGATAAGCAAGGTATTTTTCACTTTTTACATCATTAATGCTTTATTTATTTTAGGAATTTGTGTTACAACCTGCAGACAAGCAAGCTAAGCAGTGCATTGGCAATACAAATATTTCCCTGGTAAAAGATCTTAAGGCACAACCTTCTAAAGTAGGCAATTTCCCATGAAGATGATAATTGTGAAAAGGAATCCCTAACCAGTGAATTGTTCCACAGACTTTGGTCAGATTCAAGTGACACAGATAACAGTGTAAGATGTGCGTCATTGGCACCCTGGAAAAAAGACAAATCCTTGAAGGGAAATAAATGGAGGATTAATTGCCTGCAAAAGGAATATCTGGATTGACATGGAAGGGAAGAGCTAATGCTAGCCTGGCTTACTTGTAAGACAAGTTTCAGGCATTGTACCCAATAAAGAAGAGCATTTCCAAAAAAAATACCAAGATCATTTTTAATAATCAGTAATAATCTTCAGAAGAATGATTTCAAAACATTCCTGTCAATTTTAAAGTGTAACCTACCAATCCTTACATACACAAGTTATGTATGTTCATACCTATTTTATTTTATTTATTGTTTTGTTTTGTTTTGTTTTTTTGAGACGGAGTTTCTCTCTTGTTACCCAGGCTGGAGTGCAATGGCGTGATCTTGGCTCACCGCAACCTCCGCCTCCTGGGTTCAAACAATTCTCCTGCTCAGCCTCTCGAGTAGCTGGGACTACAGGAGCGTGCCACCATGCCCAGCTGATTTTTGTGTTTTTAGTAGAGACGGGGTTTTACCATGTTGATCAGGATGGTCTCGATCTCTTGACTTTGTGATCCACCTACCTCGGCCTCCCAAAGTGCTAGGATTATAGGCGTTAGCCACCATGCCTGGCCTCATACCTATTTTAACAGGTTAACAGTTAATTATCTATTTTTATTGTATTAACATGTTTGAACATTTTAATGCAATCTATACTTTTCAACTCCTATTCATGTTGAAAACACAAAATTTGATTTTTTTAAATCTACAAAACAAGCCATTGTGCTATTCTTTTAATCTCTATGCATACATAAACTTTTAACTTTAGGAACGCAGTGAAAGAGGACTGTCCTCTTCTAAGAAAGAGTAGAAGAAAAAAACCCACATTTTCACCAAATTTACTTGAAAATGCCTTGTAACTCTTGCTTTCCAGTCTTACCGGTGAATTGAATCATTGATGTAGGTAAGTCACAACAACTAATTAACTTTGATCACAAAGACAAATTTAGTCTAATATAATTGGAATGTTATAATGAAATTATTTGAGTTGACTAATCAGTACCACTCAATTCTAATAACAATGACAGAAGAATAAGAGTATACAAAAATTAAGATTATGACACAGTTTAAAAATGCATTTGGCATGTGAATAGCAGCAAGTAAGTCACTAAAAGAAAAATCTTGGACCGGGAGTGGTGGCTGACATCTGTAATGGGAGGCTGAGGCAGGCAGATCATGAAGTGAGGGGATTGAGACCATCCTGGCTAACACGGTGAAATCCTGTATCTACTAAAAATATAAAAAGTTAGCCGGGCATGGTGGCATGCGCCTGTAGTCCCAGCTACTCAGGAGGCTGAGGCAGGAGAATCACTTGAACCAGGAGGCGGAGGTTGCAATGAGCCAAGATTGTCCCACTGCACTCCAGCCTAGGCAACAGAACAAGACTCCGTCTCAAAAAAAAAAAAAAAAAAAGAAAGAAAGAAAAAGGTAAAAAGAAAAATCTCTGTTGGTTGCCCACTAAATGTTGATACTAGAATTTGACATTTGAGAAAATACCTAAAGCACTGGTTTCCATGGTTAATTCAGAAACAGAGTTTAAACCCTTGTCAGCCATTATTAAAGCGGGGCTCACGTGATCAAAGGAGGCATAAGAAACTTCGCTAGTAAGTTCACGAAGATGTTATTTCACAGGTAAACTTGCTCTTAAAGCGACGACTGCTACAATACAGAAGTCAGGGATAAAGGGGATTGAGGTATATTCAGAAAAAAAAATAGCACACAGTGATATAATTTTTTTAATAAAAGGAGCAAGGTTTGCACAAATTCAAGCAATACAAGTCCTGTACTGTATAAATATTTATATGAATATTGTACTTCAGATTCTTTTATCAAATGAATGCTAGAATCCATAAAGGACGGAGACTGTTTTTAGCCTTACTTTATTTCCTTCGCTTGTGGCTACTTGTCATTTATACCCAACTATGATATTCTGAGTTTTCTAATGGATATAAATGGTGAAAAATTGAACCAGAATAACACACGATTCTATAAAGCAGCGTTTCCCCAAATGAGTTCAGTATGATATGGGTTTAAAAGTCAATGAAATTTAAAAAAAAAAAAAATAGGTGAAATTGCATCACAGCAGTTACCTTCCTGCAAGACTTCAGTGGGCATTTAAACTTCCTGAATGAGTGGTGCTTCTCCAAGAGGAGAATAGAAAATGCTCTGCTTCCTAAATACGATTGATGACTGAAACCTGGGCTTTGAAGAATATCTCATAGGACCAGGTTTTCACAAATACACTTTGGGGAAATGTTGCGCCAGGGCAATTTTGGCACCATTGGTCCCACTGTTGAAGGCAAAGTCTGTGCTTTTCACCCCCTTCCCCCTTGCTTCTAAACATCAAACCCTAACAGATAAAAGAACAGCAGGACATGACCATGGTTCTCTTATCTTGTGGATGGAGAAGACCAAGAACAAATGACTCTTATCTGGAGTCATGAAAGATGTTGAGCAAAGTCAAGAGAAGGTTTAGAGATATTAGCAGGAGGGAGAGATGGAGACAGAAAGGAGAGAGAGAGAGAAGGAGAGAAAGAAAAGCCCATAGGTGCAGGAAATAGTGACATCATAAACTTTTCCTTCGCTTTCCTTTAGTCATCATTGTCTACAAAACTTAAATGAAATTTATGAAAAATTATTCCTTGCATTTCTTTACTTCTTTAGTTCATTTAAAGTCGGAGGATAAACAGCCAATAAATGAGCGTCCTCAGCATTAAAATATTGATCTTTGTATTTATGGTCTATATTAAATTTACAGCATCCAAGATCAAATACTGTTATCGACCAACATGATGACCTCTCAGATCCACAAAGCTGGAGGTGAATCAATATGAGGCTAGTCAGGAAATCCCCTTCATTATTTTAATTGCCCATAGTACTTATGAGTAACAACTCCACACAGAGTTTCTCATTTTGTTATAAAATTCAGTTAGGAGGCCTGTCTTTGCATTTCAGCTCCAGCCCCTTAGTCATCAAGTGCCTTAGATAAAACCATCATTTCAGTGGTCTTTGCCTTTTTCCTTATCTGTAAAATAAATCTCCTGCTTAGATGATCTCTGTGGTCTCTTCTGTGTTGTGTAGCATTATTAATACCTAACCTTATAATGGAGATAGATGGAAAACAGAATTATATCTGGGCAGATAAAGGAGACCTTAAATGTGGCAAGCAGCTCACAGGCTTTTGACTATAAGACATTTTTTTAATACCAAAATAACATGATTAATTTTTCAAAATAATTGTCTCAAAATCCACTGATAACACATTAGAGACAAACAGCTATTATAATTTTAATGATGCTTTGTATTAATTTATGTTTTATTAAACACAGTAGCATCTTCATAGTGGACATATATATGTAATATACATGCATGCAAAGTCTATGGACGATGTTTTATCTTGCACATGGGTTTTGAATCCCTTGGTACAAATAAGATAATGGAAACAAAAGTATTAAATTCAAAGTCTGATACATAGTAAGGCTCAAGAAACAGTAAATGTCATTATCAACAGCATACAAAGAATCTTCAGCACACAGGCAGGAATGACAGAAAGTTATCATCTCTTACTGATGTGGAAAGAACATCAATCCTAAGATCTGATTACAGATTAAAAGTCCCAGATCTGTCACTAATCAGCTATGTGACCTTGTGCAAGTCAATCTCCTCTTTGGCCTTCAGTATTCAAAGTCAAAAGAAGGAATAAACTGGAATAGCACTTTTTTTGCAGCTCTCAAGTGCATTTCCTTCTGTAAATGTCTATCAGGAACTGAGCTAAAGATTCTAATTTATTTTTGTCCAGATAAATGAGCATCAATCATGGTTCATGTTTCTCAAACATGATTATACAGTGAAGTGCAAATTGGCACTATCCCCAGAGAAAGTGATTTAATCGTATCTAACAAAATTACAAATGTAGACTCCTTTTGATCCAGCAGTTCTATTCCTAGGAATGTATCCTAAAGATAATACGCTTGTTCATATGCAGAATAGTATTTACACAGGTCATTCCCTGAAATATCGTAAATAATAAAGCAAGATGGGAAACAGCTAAACGTCCAACATTTAGCTTTGTCCCCAACAATAGGGGACAGACTAAAGGATGTTATGAAATGCTATGCTTCTGCAAAACAGACACAAAAGGGCTTCATGTGAGCGTATAGAAAGTTACCCAAGATGCGTTACAACGTAAAAATAAGATTCAGAAAAGAACACTACCATTCGTGTTAAAAAAAAATTCCTCCACCGATGTAGGAAAGAATACATGTTTGTTTCAGCTATATGCATAAAACATCTCTGGAAGAATAAACTAGCAGCTAATAACAGTGGTTACCTACTAGAAGAGTGACAGAAACTATAAAGATGAAAGGTAATATGGGGAGGAAACTTTTCGCTGCTTATCCTTTTTGATGTTCAAATTATGTGGATGTATTAGCTATTCGAAAATTAAATAAAACATTTAAACAAAGTATATATGATTTATTAATCCATATTCCTGAATCCCATTTGCCCTATCCCTGTAACATTTAAAGATTATTAATGTGCTTTCCAAAGATGAGCTTATATAATTACACATACAAAAACACTCTTTTTTTGTTTTTTTGAGATGGAGTCTCGCTCTGTCACCCAGGCTGGAATTCAGTGGTGCAATCTTAGCTCACTGCAATCTCCAC